TAAAAAAGACCTATATAACTTTATTTTGATTTAAGTTTTTACAAAAATGACTTGACTTGAAATAAAATGATTTAAGTCAAAGACTTAAAACTTAAATCATTTTGATTTTAGAATCTAAGTTTTAAGTTAAAATGACTTAAGATTTAAGTCTTTTTAAAATTGACTTGTTGCGGCTCTGACACGCGTCTGCTATGTTTCTACAGGGTTTTTCACCACATACGACACGGAGTATTGTAACTAAATGATTAGATTTTTACAAATTGTAAGTTTTGGGTTTGTTGAAGGACTATTAGAGCTACAATTTAAAAATATTTTTACAAGATACAAAGTGTCCCAAATAAATAAAAAATATAAGTTGTATTTTTTAAATGGAACACTGTATATTATTACATTTTTAGTTTCTAGGATTAAAATAAAGGTAAATTTGATTAAGGTTTTTTACACTTAAACCTTACAGTTTTTGAAATATTTGCAAAATGAAATTGCAGTCAAAATTTTAAGGCTTCATTTCTCCAAGGGTATCAAAGTTTTTAATACTAAATATTTACTGAAGTCTATTTATTGATCAGTTATTGTGTTGCAATATTAAAAATAATACCACCTCATACAGAGTGTCTAAAAATTTATTTTAAATTATTTCTAGCTTTAAACGGCAATAACATGTTTAATTTAAATGGAATTCCCTGTATATTTTAGGAGAATCAGATGCACAATTTAATTGTCTATAAAATTGTATTATACCAAAGGTAGGTAAAAGACCTATCCCTTCAAGTTTTCGTAGAAAATGCATTTTCTTATAATTTAGACCTCATTTTTCAATATATCCATGGAATATTGACATTTTAGATTTGTTTTTAAAGCAACAAATGTAGAAAATGTACAGCCTAGTAATATTATCGTTTTTAGCTTAGCTAAATGATAATATTAGCTCAGCTAAATGATAATATTACTAGCCCACTTGTATGCAAAAAGAAAACTAAATTAGATTTAAATCTTTATAAAAGAGTATACCCATTAATTAAATATAAAATATATCACTATTATTTCCGCCCAAATACTAATACTACATACTTAATTATGTTCGTTAATAAATTATTCTAAATAAATGTGGATTTGAATCAGAAATCAATATAATAATAAGTTATGAAAATGAATGTCTCTGTGTTGTTGTAAATAAGCATTTGTCAAAAACTTTTTACTACACTGTCTAAATACACATACAAAATTCAGTTTTTTAGTATTTGAAGCAATTATTATTAATCAACGCAAACAGTCAATTAATGTAGTTTGAATACTGGAATCATATTAATTGGTCCTCTTTAACAAATATTTAAACAGTTTTTTTTTTTATTTTTTAATGAAATAAACAAACTATATCGCCAATATTAGTATCTGTAGTATCTGTACTCTTTAAAAATTTGGTACATCTTTAAAAATAATATAATCTAAAATGTCAGTATTCCATGGGTATATTGATAAATGAGATGGGTAAAAAATGGAACAATACAATTTGATAGACAATTAAATTGTGCATCTGATTCTCATAAAATATACAGGGTTTCTATTTAAATTAAACAAGTTATTGCCGTTTAAAGCTAGTAATTATTTAAAATAAAATTTTAGACATTCTGTATAAGGTAGTATAATTTTTATTATTGCATCACAATAACTAATCAATAAATAAATTTCAGTAAATATTTCGTAATTAAAACTTTGATACCCTTGGAGAAATAAAGCCTTAAAATTTTGACTGCAATTTCACAAAATTGAAAATATTTCAAAAACGGTAAGGTTTAAGTGTAATAAACCTTTATCAAATTTACCTTTATTTTAATCGTAGAAACTGAAAATGTAATAATATACAGGGTGTTCCATTTAAAAAAATACAACTTTAATATTTTTTATTTATTTGGGACACTCTGTATCTTGTAAAAATATTTTTAAATTGTAGCTCTAATAGTCCTTCAACGAACCCAAAACTTAAAATTTGTTAACAACCCTGTATATGCAAAATATAAAAGACAACCTCCAACCTTTGTATTCCATTATTTGTGCCTAAACAATATGAGATTTTGCATTGGTAATAAACGAACACCTTCTAAATTTTATTTTGTTTATTGACGAATGCTCATTCATAACACACTATACAACATAACTTTTATTAATATTCTGATTTTTGATTCAAATCCACATTTATTTAGAACAATTTATTAATCAGCAAATTAATTAATGATTTGGGCGGAAATAATGGCGTCTTATTTAATTGTGACAATGTGACATCTGCACTTTTTGTAAATTTATTTAGTTTAATAAAAAAATGTTGAAATAATGACAATAGAAAATTATACGCGTGAATGCATAAAACGTGACAGTAGTATACGAACTTCATTGGTCGTTATTAGGCTTTTTAAATCTTTAAAACGCGTAATATGTGATTTGGAGCGAAGAAACGCACACCTATGTCAACAACCGATCGGGAAAGCACCCGGTGCGCAGCCGTGGTACCGCGGTGTACGACCCAGCGGAAGACGGGCAGTCGGAAACAAAGAAAACGCGGTCGGTACCCGGAGAAACCGTTTCGCTGCGGTACCTCACCTGCGCGACGTTGCCGCTTCTCGTCGGAAATACGAAGGAGATTGCTTTAATATTTCTCGGCTTATTATTTAGATGACGACCTCCGGGTACTCTCGGCGGACGCGGTCTGGACGTGGTAGGTGCGTAACCACCTGTTTGCCACCTGCACCAGGTGGATCAAGCTGTCCACGTGCCAACAACAGCTGGACAGTGTGGGTCTTTATCATTCATAAAAAAAATTATGTTGGACTATTTATTGCTCGATTAGAAAATTTTACTAATACCCAAGTACATTTAATAGAGATCTATTTTTAATCTTTTCTATACGTATTTGCGTGTAAAGTTTCATACAGAACCTCGCAATTAGTGGAATAAATTAGTGGTTTCAATTAGTTTAGAAACAAAATATTTTATGGGTATATGTGGGGAGGCAATGTGCACAATTTAAAATTATTTTGAAATATACAGGGTGTTTCAGAACTAAGATCCATACCAAAGTCATATTTTTTTTATGGAACACCCAGTATTTTACTTCATTTTTGGATTATTGAGCCCAAAAGACATTTATTATAAGGGTTAAATATGTTTAAAATCTTTGGTTTTTGAGATATTTAAAGATATTTAAATTTGCATGCTACAATAGAATAGATTATTAACACCCTGTGCATTACATTAGAACACATCAGAATTAATTCTTATGCTAAGTTTAAAGGTAGAGAAATAAACTTTACTGCAAATTGTTATTGCTTCCTTAAATTTATACAGGGGTATCAAAAATTGCTGATCCATTTTAAGGATTTATTTTACATAAAAACTTCGTTATTCCAAATACAACACCCATTATTTTTTTAAATAAATCGAAGCAGATTCCAATGCTCTTTCAAACTATATTAGGGTTTCCTATACCTATCTAGTTCAGATTTTGAATAAAAAGCGATTTTTAAATAAAATTGCAATCAAGGCGGCTGGTGTCGCTATGATTGCAATTTTCTAGTGAGAGTTAGTAACTATTTTAAAGTCGATATTAGTTTATGGACATTATTATTTATAATTTATAACAGTTTACTTAAATTTACCTACAATAGTTTAATATAAGTAAGTATTCACTATTTCATCAAGAAAAATAAAGCAGTATCTGCTGGCGGAACGAATGGATATGTTACTAGTGATTTTATTTTGTGAGGAAAATTGCTTTTTGGCCTCAAGAGTTTATGCTCAAAGATATGCAAATAGGATTCTTCCAAACCTATTTGGCAGAAACCTATCATTGGAAGTAAAGAAAATGAATTTGCCGTAATTGGCTCTTTTAAAGAAAATCCATATATCTACAAGTCATTGTAAAATAAATCAAAGACTACTTCTTCGTTTTTCTTGGTAGAATAAGAAATACGTATTTAATAAATATTACTTATTAAACTATTGAAGATAAATTAAATAAAAGTAAACTACTATAAATTTAAATAATTTTAAATTAAGTCCATAAACTATTGTCGACTTTAAAAATAGTTACTGTCACTAGAAAATTGCCATGGCGACACCAGCCACCTTGATTGCAATTATATTTAAAAATCGTTTTTTATTCAAAATCTGAGCTAGATAGGTATAGGAAACCCTAATATAGTTTCAAAGAACATTTAAATCTGATTCGATTTATTTAAAAAAATAATGGGTGTTGTATTTGAAATAACGAAGTTTTTATGTAAAATAACTCCTTAAAATAGATCAGCAATTTTTGATACCCCTGTATACATTTAAGGAAGCAATAACATTTTGCAGTAAAGTTTATTTCTCTACCTTTAAACTTAGCACAAGAATTAATTCTGAAATGTAATGCACAGGGTGTTAATAATCTATTATATTGTAGCATGCAAATTTAAATATCTTTAAATAGGTATCTCAAAAACCAAAGATTTTAAACATATTTAACCCTTATAATAAACGCCTTTTTTTGGGCTCAAAAATCCAAAAATGAAATAAAATACTGGGTGTTCCATAAGAAAAAATATAACTTTGGTTTGGTTTGGAATCTTAGTTCTGAAACACCCTGTATATTTCAAAATAATTTTAAATTGGGCACTTTGCCTCTCCACGTATACCCATAAAATATTTTGTTTCTACATCTTCCCGTTTTCGTATAATCAACCGTGGCGAATGAGGTGCTCCACCCTGTATATTTACTTTAAACGAATCACTATCTTTTTAGTTTTTGAAATACACTGAAAAGTTGAGCAAACCTTTTATTTAGTCACGACACACAGGATTGTAATTGTCCGAAATGAAATGTAATAATACTTTTCAGCAGAAAATTGCTGTCCTGCAAACAAAGGTTTTTACGATCCCCAGCTGTTCTCTTTAAAATAAAGTTTCTTTTGTTGGTTTCGCTGGTATGTATGTGTTTTTTAATACGAATATTTCTTTTGTTACAGAACGAGAACGTCCTACAACGTCTAGGATACCTTCAACGTAAGTATTTCTTATTAAATAAGCATTAAAATCAAAACTACCATTCGATCGAAAAAAAAATAGCGTAAAAGACGGTTGGGGAATTACAATCGATGATTACATCGTCATTTACTTAGCTCGTACTCTTATTTATTTTTAATGGCGCCTACTGCCAGTTGGTCTTAAGAAGATTGTAATTTATTTTTATATTGAGTAAAAATGAGTTTTAAATATTGTAGTAGAATTCGAAAAAAAATACTTTTTTGGAAATAGATTTGTGTCTGGAAATGTTCTATCCTTTATTATCCTTATATTTAGATAATATTTCTATAATTAGTGTTAATTTTTGACAAGTTTTTTTGTAAATTTTTATAAATGACGTTATAGACGTAGAGATTGACCTCGCCAAAATTATTATCGATTGTCATTCCCCAGCAATCCTTGATGTCGTTTTTTTTTATCATATGGTACTTAATCGAAGAATATCTTTTCTCTAAATGGTCTTTATTCTTTATAACTGAAGTTTTATTTACTTTTTTTCCTTATTTAGGGATATACACAGTCAATTGGAGTTATCGGAAGACAGTGATGACGATGACAAAAAGCACCACGTGTTACCTAGTCGAAATTTAGCTCTTGATAAGTAAGTGATCTTATTTGTACAAAAAAAACTGAACATTGGCGATATGCACAAAATAATGTTATTCTTTGTTCGGCGATCATTCAACGCCACGTATAAATCTAATATTTGCTGTCTTATTTGCAAAAAACTTATCGTGTTTCTGGGGTCGAACTACATTACCTCTAAAAATATTTGCACTTATTTAAGACTCACCCTGTATTATCGAACTCTCTCTTTCACTTGACTACCAGATGAAAAAGATTGGAATTACTGTACATTATTTCTGGTAATTGTCATTTGATTTGACATTATAATTTATTGAGGGTTGTCGATCAATGTTACTAGTAGTCTAAGAGCTAGGCTACATAAAAAACCTTATCATCGTTACATGGCAAATTTTTTTTGTGTGAAATATCCTTTTGTGTAGCCATTATGAAATAGTCATGTCTGCAATCCAAAGGGTGAAATTTTGACATTAAAAATATTATAAGATACATGAGTTATAATTGCGAAAATAGCTTTTATTTATTATTAAGAAACGTGGAAAATTGTTGGCCGACATTTTTCTAGTCGCTAAAATGCCGACAGACAACGCGAAAGAGGCATGAAATTTAAAAAATTATTAAAAAATGAAATTTGAAGAATAAAAAAAATTATATTTTTGCATGCCGATTGGTGAAATGTCATATTTATTTATTTTAAAAGCCGTATGCAAAAGAGCAGACAAAAAGATCGTGGCTCAATCAGCTGCAGACAGTTATTAGAAGCGCGATATTACTCTAGCGCTTTCAGCAAACGCTCGCCGCCTCATCCATTTAAGTATAGATAAATCATATAATATACGATTATATTATAAATATATTTTTTTATTATTTCAATAACGAAAGGCCCTTTTGCACACGGCTTTTTAAATTAATTAACAATAAACATGACATTCCACCAACCGACATGCATGTATGCGATGATTTTCTTTTGTCAAAATTCTATGCCTCTTTCGCGTTGTCTGCCGGCATTTCAGCCACGAGAAAAATGTCTGTCAACAATTTTACACGTTTCCTAATAATAAATAAAAGCTATTTGGCAATTATAACTTGTGTACCTTATAATATTTTTAGTGTCAAAATTTCACCCTTTCGATTGGCCGCCCCCGCTTTAAGCCCCGGGATCGCGCTGGCAGACATGACTATTTCACAATGGCTACACAAAAGGATACTTCACACAAAAAATAGCCATGTTACGATGATAAGGTTTTTTATGTAGCCAGCTCTCGGTCTATAGTAGGTATAGTATACTGATTATTTACGAAATTCGCTTAAAATTAACTGATATATTTGATAAATTAAACTGATAAAAATTAACTGATGATCAAAGAGGTTAGAAGAGAAAGAGGTAACAAATGCTCTATTTTATAATGCGCGAAGGCTGCCTGTTTTTCCGATCTGGGTTCCTTTGGTGGGGGTCACGCCAGGAGCGGATTTAGAAATTTTTAAGTGAATAATGATATACATCTAATATATAAAATTCTCGTGTCACAGTTTTTATTACCTTAATCCTTCAAAACGGCTTGACCGATTTTGATGAAATTTTATATGTATAATCAGTGGATATGAGACTAGGTTGTTATCGATTTTTTATACCCCTAAGTGATAAGGGTGACCCAAGAAAAAAAAAAATTTTTTTACTTTTTTGAAAAAAAAATTATTTTAATTTTTTTATGATTTGGCATTATAAAATACATACAACCCTAAATTTTCACCCTTCTACCACCAACACCTATTTTGTAATAGGGGTTGTTTTTTTTAATTTTTTTTATTACCTTACTCCTCCGAAACGGCTTGACCGGTTTTGATGAAATTTTATATGTATAATCAGTGGGTCTGAGACTAGGTTATCGATTTGGTGGCCCAAAAAAAAATATTTTTTTTTAATTTTTTGGAATTTTTTTTATTTCTATTTTTTTATGATTTGGCAATTAATACATTTGGCAATTAATACATTAATACAATTTGGCAAAAATACATACAACCCTAAATTTTCTTTTTCTACCATCAACCGCTCTTTTTTAATAGGGGATGTTTTTTTTAATTTTTTGTTACCTTACTCCTCCGAAACGGCCTGACTGGGCCTGACCGAGTTTGATGAAATTTTATATATATATATATATATATATATTCAGTAGGTCTGAGGGTAGGTTATTATCTATTTTTTATACCCCTAAGGCGCGGTATTTTCAGGTATAAATAAATAACTTTTATCTAACAAATAACAATCTTAAAGATAAAACAATTGGTAGAAGATACACGTTTTTACACGCTATCCGTCAAATAAAATATATAACACGCTATCTGTACCTGAAAATACCGGGGGTAAGTGATAAGGGTGATCCAAGTCCACCGGCCAAATCTTCTGGTGTATGGGTGGCTACTCGTTTTTTAGACCAATCTAATCTGACAGATCAAGTCTGCTCTGATTTGGCCTGTGACAGGCTTGGTCCGCCAATGGCTTGGCCTGCTACAGACTTGGTCCGGCACACAAACACAAAGTTCTTATCCGCAGACCAAGTCTGCAGGCCAAATCTTCTGGTGTAGGACGCTAATAAGCAAATTTAATTGTAGAATAGGACTGCAGAAAAACCACCTTATGATATTAAAAATTCTTTATTTAAAACTATTTAAATAAAAATAATTCTACAATGGGCTATAAAATATAAAATAACACAATATTAATCACAAAAATAGTATATTGTTTTATTAGGAATAAAAATGACACTTTTCGTGGCGAGGCTGTACGTTTACATACAGGCGAGGCACAAAAAGTAATTTTTACTCCGAATAGAACATGCTATTTTTTTCCAAACGCCACAAATAATTTTTTAAACAATTTCAAACGTTCCAAATGATATAAAAAGATTTAAAAGTAATACCTTGTATATAATTATATATCGAGAAACTATGGTTACCCTCCTTGAATTTGACACTTTATGTCAGTTTAATAATATATTTTCGCACTTGTATGCTTGGGCGTAAAAGTGTTTTACTTTTATATCTAGGCAGTAAAATTACTTTTTTACATTGTCAATCACGTCGCAAAAACTAATACTTTTGTGACGTGTGAAAAAAATAGTATATTGTTTTATTAGGAATAAAAATGACACTTTTTGTGGCGAGGCTGAACGTTTACATACAGGCGAGGCACAAAAAGTCATTTTTACTCTGAATAGAACATGCTATTTTAGAAACGCTACAGATAATTTTTAAACAATTTCAAACGTTCCAAATAATATAAAAAGATTTGATGTGTATAATTATATTGTAATACCTTGTATATAATTATATATCGAGAAACTATGGTTACGCTCGTTGAATTTGACACTTTATGTCAGTTTAATAATATATTTTCGCACTGCTTGGGCATAAAAGTGCTTTAATTTTATGCCTAGGCAGTAAAATTACTTTTTTATATTGTCAGTCACGTTGTAAAAACTAATACTTTTTTGACGTTTGAAAAAAAAAATATATTTTTACAGAATTACAAAATATTATTGTCCCTTAAATAATACTAACTTATTATAACTAGACCGTATACTTCTACTTTTGTCAAACAGACTTTTGTTATAATGATGAATTCGCACAGTTGCATATATAGAAGAAATTAATTCTATTAGGTTGTTAAAGTGGCTAGTAAAAATATTTTGTTCTCTAAAGTGGTTATTAAGTGATTCAAATAAGTTTTTTTTACCAATTATTATTTTTAAAACTCTAATATTTATTTTTTTAATATCGATAACAGTTTCTGAACCGTTAAAAAATATCTGAAGAATTTTTTCTGTTGTTAAACAAATATACATAACATCTTCAGATGGATAAAAGAGGTACTGTCCTTTGTCTTTTTGATTAATAAAGGACGTTATTAAATTATACCTGTCACCTGAAAGTGAATAGACACATTCCTCGCATTTTAAAATTTTACCTATTTTTTTAACCACAAAGCCAGCAATGTATGTTATGGCCTCTTTTTTAAATTCTGATATATTTATATTTATGTTTAAAGCATTGTGAAATATTTCATCGTCCTCAACTTCAATTACTTCTTCGGTTACTTCTGAAATGCGTTCTTTACCACATGTTTTATTAATTACCTCAGAAGGAGTTAAAATTGGAATTGCTTCCAACGGAATGCAATTCCCTTTAAATGAATCTCTCAATTCAAGATGGACCATCATTTTTTTATACGCCGATTTAAATTGTTTTGCTGATGGATTGTTGTTGTAACCACCCAGAGATCTAATCTGCCCAAAAAATAATTCAATGTGATCTTGACTTATTTTGTAGGTAGGGAAATACAACAGTAAATTATTCTCATAAATTAGATTTTTATAAAGAAATTGAAGGCTTTCTATATTAAATAAGAACCCTACAAATCCCATTTTTCTGCCGCTTTCGCACAATAGTTTGCCATCCATTAATCTTAATGATTTTAAATAATCTAATAATTCACACAAAAAAGAATTTATTTTTTCAAAGTTTTGCATACTGATTGGTTTTTTGAAATCAAGTTGGTGCAAATTTCTACTGTTTAATATATCAAATAAGTTGTTTATATAGCGTATGAATTTTACTGTGGGTTCAGAATCTTTAAACTGTTCAAGTTTTAAAATTTCATTGCAATATTCCAAAGAATGTGCTACTGATTGGCTAAATAGTTGGGTGGCTAATTTAACCTTCATTTTTTGGTTGCTATAAAATATATGTGATTTTCGCATTTTATTAGCCAAGTGCAAACCCTCTTCATCCTGAAGTTTACACAACTCTGTTAAAAAATCCCATTTTATTGTTCCACCGTTGTCATCTATAATAACTTTTTTTTCACCCAATGTATTCCTAATTAACTTTACCATATGACATGGATCAAAAAAAACTGCAATTCTTCTCCCAGAGTTAGGGTCAACAAATGTTGAATTAATATTTTTATAATCAAAATTACAACCCAGTTGTTTAGCCAAAGTAATATTGTTACTAGCC